TAAGGGGAAAGCTTCGACATCCAATTTTTTGGCCATATTTTATTTAATTTTTAAAAGGAAATCTAATCGATTTCGAAATAGAAAAACATACATAGTTTTTTATGTTGGTGGTTTTTATTTGATATTAAGCTTCGGAATCCACTTGTTTGCCATATTTTAATTGGATTTAAAAAGAAAGAAATCTGATCGATTTTGAAATAGAAATATGTGTATATATATATATGTGTGTGTGTTTTCTATCAGTATTAGGGGGAAGCTTCGTACCCTAATACTAAAGACCCCCCCAATACTAAAAACTCCTCCAGGTGTTTGTTATTTGGGTGGGTGGGTGGGTGGGTGAAGGGGCGACTGTTTAGCAACAGGGGGAAGGGATTAAACCGTTTTTTGTTTCTAATTTCAAAATCCATGAAAATAATCTTTAAATAGAATACTGCCAAGAATAGGATTTCGAAGCTTTCGCCTAGTATCAAATAAAACACCAACACCTGAATTAAAAAACTAAAATTGACGATTTTAAAGGACGGACCCCAATAAAAGACACCCCGGTGTTGACTAGTTTTTTATTCTTTGGGGGTGAAACCCTCACATGGCACCTTCATTTTTAAAATTGTTTCCTCAAGGGGATCAATTAAAAATCAGATTAACCAATTTGACATTTCCCAAAATTGGAAATCGCACCTAGTTTTTGTCATTTGGGGGTATTTTTCGTATAGGGAGAAGGATTAGCAAAAAGAATGCCTGATCAAAATGATGCTGATTCTGTGTGTTACAATCTTTTTGCCCACTACAGTGTCTACAGGGTTACAAGGGATGCCGTGCCAGCTAGAGTCCCAAGTCCATTCAACCAACACCCTAATCGATGAAGTTGGACTTGTTGAAATGGAAGTGGGACTGGACCAGTTGACATGGGGCGTGCTATTCTTGCGTCCGTCTCTCTGCGACATTTTTCAAACAATTCAATTTCTTCAGGTCTGTACCATTTTCCGTTCGTCCACCTTTTCTTTCCCTGACCTTCAACGGGAGCTTCGGCGCCTGAAGGACAACAGTTTGAAAATTCCGAACCTGAAATATATTTTCAAAATTGCCTTACTAAGAGTGATCCCCACCCTGGCACACTATTCTGACATAGTTTCTGACATATCATCTGGACGTATATGTGGCATATATGTTCTGACATACTATCTTACATTCTTTTCTGAGATTCTATTTGACATTCTTTCTGGCATCCTATCTGGCATCTATTCTGACATACTTTCTGGAATATACTATATTCTGATCCTGCCTTGCCATGAGTTTGGGCTGGGAGTTTTATTTGCGTGGATCAATGCCAATGGCTTGAATATCCACCAAATGTTGGTTTCACATGTTTGCACCCAATGATTGCCATTACCATTGATACCCCAAAATGGCCAGGTCCCGAATTTGAGAGTAGGTCCTGAAAAGTTTTCTGGGTACTGAAAAAACAGGACTTTGGCACAGGGTCTGAAAAAAGACGTAGGTGGAAGATTCAGGTATGCTGTTGGGTTGCAAAGCTGGGTTAATGATCCCCAGGTTCGCTTCTTATACCCCAAAGATGTGAGGTGCCGGAAGGCCTTACGCCAGTGCAGCTCCTCTGGGTGAACCTGGTGACTGATGGTCCGCCAGCCACTGCCTTGGGCTTCAACCCACCTGATTTGGACGTTATGAGCAAGGCATGCCGCGGGAGATGATCTCGTTTGTTGAAGAAAGACCTATGGAAATCCATAGGCCAGGTGGCTTAAGAATGCTGAAGAGACATTTTAGGACACTTCGACATATGGCTTTATCTTCCAAGAAAACCAACCATTGAGGGAATCCTTCCGGGACACTGATTTACCATATGATGGACTATAAAGGGGGATACAATAGGAGAGAGAGAGAGAGAGAGAGTTATATATATATATATATACATAGACCAAGCAGTGTCACATATTGATGCAATAGTCCAATTTGGTTGGCTCACTCCCAAATGCTGCGCGTTAATACCTCCGACAGGAAGCAATCAAATCACCCCCACCACTTTTCTGCTGGTTGGTTGATGCATACTTGGGGGGCGCAGTTGGGGGTAAAATTGGTCATAGCCTCGGTAAGTTGGGATGTAACCCCTAGAACTATGGTCATATACCCACTTACATGTGCAACTGCCCCCAACAAAAGGAGGAATATCCCAGCAAACAGGTAGTGACTTCAATACCTTAAGTATTCTCCAAATGGCTTAATTAAGTTCAATGCATGGGGGCATGTGGAGTTGGATGATGACATGAATATAGCCTGAAGGAGTCACCTCAAATGGATAGATTCGCTACTTTTCCGGGTTTCAAAGATGGTCTATATTTGATATGTTTTTGTGGGACAGATTGGAATGATGGTGTAGTTGGTATTGGGGAAGCCCATCAATCATCAGCTCGATTGCACCAAAAACAGTTATCTCTAGGTGGAGATGTGTGAGATAACGGGGGGGTTCAGCTATCAGAAATGCAGACCATGATGATCCATGATGAATCTGGGATGACATCACAACAGTATGGCCAGCCCAATCGACTGGTGGTGGCTGTTTGGCTGGTGCTTCAACCCTGGAACTTTTGCAGGAACCCCCACCCATATTTTGAAGGTTTTTTTACCAGCCATTTTAATTGGTGATGAACTCATCAAATTCATCTATTGAATCTATTGGTGATGATGTGCTATTGCTGTACCAGATGGTGGTCCAAAATCCGAATGATAACTATCCAACATGTTACCCTCTGGTTATTTAACATGGCCATGGAAAATCGCCCATTTATAGATGGTTTACCTATTAAAAATGGTGATTTTCCATGGCTATGTTAGTCATAACCAGGGGGTACTATTTATCATATTGGTGGTGGTGGATCCTGCTTCATCAAAGGATAGAAACCTGCAGCGCTCGCTTGCCTCGGCCAGGCACCTCGCCGAAAAGACGATCCCTTGATTTCAGTGTGGTCCTACGTGCGCTACTTCGTGGTTGGCGCCTACGTGGGTTGCGCTGTAGTTGGCATTTTCATGTCTCCTGGACTTAAGTTGAAGATTGTTGGTTCAGTTTCTTGGTGGTTAATACGATCAGTTGTTTCGGAATGCATTGGAATACATAGTCTTGTAACGTCTTGTAGATCCAACAATCTATACATTCTATATCGTGTAATGTACCATATGTTTTTTTTGAAAACATACTGTCGACTACTGTACTGTCCTTTATTTAGATGGGGCTAGAGAAAACGAATGAACAATATATCAATCTATTGCCTATAATTATACAATTTCATATATACATACATACATACATACATACATACATACATACATACATACATACATACATACATACATACATACATACATACATACATACATACAACCATACAACATACTACATACATACATACATACATACATACATACATACATACATACATACATACATACATACATACATACATACATACATACATACATACATACATACATACATACATACATACATACATACATACATACATACATACATACACAGACAGACAGACAGACATACGTACATACATACATGCATACATACATACATACATACATACATACATACACAAACACAGAGGCATACATACATACATACATACATACATGCATACATACGTACATACATACATAGATACATAAATACATGCATACATGCATACATACATACATACATACAGACACATACATACATACATACAGACACACACACAGACACATACAGACACATACAGACACATACAGACACATACAGACACATACAGACACATACAGACACATACAGACACATACAGACACATATAGACACATACAGACACATACAGACACATACACATACAGACACATACAGACACATACAGACACATACAGACACACGCAGACACACACAGACACATACAGACACATACAGACACATACAGACACACACAGACACATACAGACACATACAGACACATACAGACACGTACAGACACGTACAGACACATACAGACACATACAGACACATACAGACACATACAGACACATACAGACACATACAGACACATACAGACACATACAGACACATACAGACACATACAGACACATACAGACACATACAGACACATACAGACACATACAGACACATACAGACACATACAGACACATACAGACACAGACATACAGACACGACACATACAGACACATACAGACACATACAGACACATACAGACACATACAGACACATACAGACACATACAGACACATACAGACACATACAGACACATACAGACACATACAGACACATACAGACACATACAGACACATACAGACACATACAGACACATACAGACACATACAGACACATACAGACACATACAGACATACATACAGACATATACAGACATACATACATACATCATACACACATACATACATACATACATACATACATACATACATACATACATACATACATACATACATACATACATACATACATACATACATACATACATGTATACACATACAAGGTACGCATACAGAATATGGCTAGTTGCTGATTTTTGCAATGTTAAATTTACATTCTATGAATGTATGTTGCACAGGATGACGGTACGTGCATCATGACATACGATTTTTGGGTCGCAGGCTCACAAACAGGCGCTATGCAGCTTATTTGAAGACTGCCTTGACCCTTTGGTGGGAAGTCAATGCTTCAACCCTCAAAACTCTCAAATGGCAGGGGTCACCCAGCTCAGCTCAGACTGTCGAAGGTGTGGAGAATGAGAAAATGGATGTGGACTTTGATTCGCCCTGGTGGCTTGACAACATTGTGCTTGCAATTTCACGATGCAGTCCAATTGCCCCCGTTTTGAACACGCGTCGAGTTAAGTCTCGCCGTTGTATTTTCTTTCGAATGCAAGGGGTGAGATTTGATGGGGGGATCTATCGACCACGGCTGTTGCTTTTCCAAGGTATGGGCCATGGCAGGGGCAGCCCTGGCATGTGCTGTGCGGCCCGCACTCTGTGACAGGCCCTGCAGAAGTGACACCAAGTCAAGGAGCTCAGCTGTTGTGTCCAGTCTATATGGGTGGTTATTGGCAAGGGTGCAGACCGGTAATGATTGCTTTCGGATTGATTCTGATATTCATGTCTGCAGCCGATGTATTGCGCCGGCAATGTTCTCTCAAACAACCGACAAAAATTTAATGCGGATAAGAACTGGTAGCAGTTTTGGGTCTGGGATGAACCGCTTGTTTTGTCACGGTGCCGTTCAGTTTTCATTTTATCACAAACTCACAGCCTTATTCTCACCGTGACCGTGGTCATCAGAGTGCTCTTCAGATGCAGGATTTGGCGAATCGTACCTTGGACCGTGCCATGGCAGAAATTGTAGAGTGTTGGATTGGAAATCAAACCTTGACGGATTTCGTCGTGGAACATCGTGGAACGTCGTAGAACGTATCAACATCCTGGACCGGACCCAAGGAAGTACTTTGGGCCGTTGTGCACCGAGAGCGGTCGCTTCTGGTAGCTCGGCCTGATGACCTGTACTGTATGTCCTGTCTGTGATGACTTGCTATGCTTTGCCATTGCTGGTTGACGGTGCAGGCTTTCAATTGGCTTTCGGCAAGTTCACACAGCTCTACATGTAACTTGGTGAAGGCTTTGGCAGCGCGTGCTGCTTGAAGCGGGAAGTCTATCTCGAAGATTATTGATGAATATTTGTGGAGATTTTCTAGCTTGTTCTGACTAAAAATCAAGCTATGTTCAGCCTTTCTATCACACATGGCCGAGCGAACTAGGAAAACTGATGCTAGGAAAACTGATTCATTTTTAAGACTTGTTCCATGGCGGTGAGAAGTCCTGTGCTCTGCAAGGAGCGAACTCTCCTTATTTTCCCGGTGACCTATTCGGATTGGAGCAATCCTTGGCACGACTTGCACTGGTGGATACCCGCATTGGAATCTTGAATGCTTAAGGATTCGAAAAAGTGACACTGCAAGATAGACCAAGCTATTTGATGCTATTTGATGCTATTTGCACATGTTTCACATGCTTATATGTCTGAATTTCTTAGCAGCAAGAATGAGATGATTTTGGAATCAAACTGAGGATCTCAAAAAGCGTCTTCAGCTGGAAGCAAAGGATGTGGACATAGCCTCTTGACAGCGGCCACGACGCACTGGACGGTTCCTCTGCGTGACAGGAAAAGCTTCCCATGGGAGTGGCGTGTCGTACCCCGAGGCCTTGGCCTTCCCATTTCCGGATTGCGATTGGGGAACCACGGCCAAACTATTGGTCGTTGGCTGAGGCAAAGTCTTTACAGTCGTACTGTGGAAGATCTGGAAGGTTGTTCCAAGACGACAAAAGGACATGGAAAGGTCGTGGAAAGGCACAGTCAATGGTCATCCCCTGCATCCTCTCCAGAACATGTCACCGTGGGAAGAATACCATCGGACCTGAGGTTGACCAAGCCAAGGGGGTGTTCACTCGTTCAGAACCAGAGCATTGGTCCTTCCTGCAACACATGTGGCCCAAGGCGACATGGGAGAGGTTCATTGGTCAACCTTGGGTTCTGAAGCTTTGAAGGAGCTGAAACCGAGGATCTCTTGGATTTGGAAGACACTTTCATGATCTTTCATGTGTTTTTTTTTGCTCCACTTGATTCGAGCAATTTCACCTGTGGCAGGCGGTTAACCGCCGTATTCGTGCGTGGAAGCCAAAGGGTCTCCATGAGGCGCAGAGTCTTTTTCGGCCTTGAAGTACCTCCGAGTACCTCCTTTCCACTCTTAACTTTGCTGTTTAGGAAACATAAGAAAGTTATGGAAAGCTATGGCAAGTTGCTGTGCAAAACTTCCTGATCAAGTATGGTTGCACCATGCTGCACCAATAAGTCCCAACTGCATTCGAGATCCACAAAGGACTCAAAAAAAGGCTCATAACCTGCAGGCGTAGAGGTGCGGTTTCCCCAAGTCCAAAACAGCATCGATAGATATCGATAGGATGTGCTCCGTTGGCTCTCTGATCGGCCAGCTCGACAATTGAAGGACTAGATTGAATCTGCAAGACATCCTGAGGTCCTGTGTTGGACCTCTAAACCCAATGGACGATCATGATGATCCCACGCATCTCTTCTCACATCAAGTTACCCTTTATAGCTGCATTATAGCTGCAGGATTACTATGGCCAGAGCTATGCCAAGATCATTCTTGGACTTCGGTCACTACGTTTTCAGGCTGGGCAGACTGTTGCCAGGACTTGAAGGCAGTTTCAACACTTGATTTGATCCAGTTGTAAGTTGTACTTCAGTACTTTCATGTGAAAACAGATAGTCTGATGTATATTGCGCGGATAGCCAAACTGCTTGTGTCATTTGATGCTGCTAGGAATACCTTGATGATGTTGACAATGTTGACCACAACAAGACTGATGATGACAACACTGACAGTAATTCATGAGGCTATCTACAGTTGGGGTTTGGCACGCCCAAGTTGATTTGATTCAAAAAAAACTTCCAAAACAGCGCCGATAGTTCTTTTTGCTTGTATTTTCATTGTATTTATAGAGATAAAAACAAGCAGAGCTTTGGCAGCTACACTTAGATAGCAGGTATATACACACATGCACACACACACATATATATATATAATTGTATATAAATAATGTACATATATAGTGTACCTGCACACACAGACATCAGATATAAAACGTGCCACGTATTTACACACACACACACACCTTTTTGATATGCGAGGATGAATATCTACAGTTCGGGCTTCATTGTGATTCAGCTGTTTCTTCGCACGCAGGTCTTCAGCTCCAGTTTTGACTGTGGGGAAATGAGAGACGTCGCAAATTGGATCCGCAGCTCGGCGCAGAGCTTGGAAGGTCTGGAGCATTTTTGGTTCTTATAATTGTGATGATGATGAGGAGGAGGAGGAGGAGGACAGCAAAAAGGCAAAAAAGGCAACGTGATATTGGGTGCTTCGCTGAGGTCACACGCCGCAGTATACAGCTCTAGGGCCGGACAGGCCTGTAGAAGAGCTGGCAGTACTGCAAAGACCACTTAAAGAAGGCAGTCCTTTGGCAGAACGGAGCTTTAGCGACGACGGACCTTGATGCTTAATATGTCCTCAATGTCCTCAACAACACTGATAAAAGCTTCATTGTAAGCTCAACATTGTCAGACTGATAAAAGCAAAGTTGTAGGGCCAGACAAAGCGACTTTGCAGTGTCCCAAACAGAGAAGACTAATGAAAGCAACGATAAAACAATTGGCTTGACAGGCTTGACACTCCACTTCAGCATTTCGCTTCCAAACAGTGGTGACATCTTGGGCTGTTTGATGTCGCTGATTGTGGACAAACTAAAACCCAAATGTGATTCAACGTGATCTCAGGAGCCATCCTGAACCTTGGGGAGACGATTTCGATGTTGGCCGGTTTTGCCTGGTTGGCTCCGCTCAAAGTCACCGTCATCGAAAAGCTCCAGGCTCGGTGGATTCCGAGGATTCCGAGGATTCACAGCATGGAGGTGACAGCATATGGAGGTAACAGTTACCAGGTAACAGCAAGGCTTCTGCTTTCAGTTTTGGAAGCACAAGACAGGAATGTATAAAAGCACAAGGTACGTCTATAGAAGTGTGGAGCATCATCTTGTAAAACATAAGTCTTGACGGGTGATCACATATCAAGAGAGATTAATTGAGTGGAGACTGATGTCAAAAGACCTCTATTGACAATTGACATTATTAATGAAAGAATATGTCATCATATGTCATTAATATTATCGCCTCGAGATATGAGTTTTTCCTGTGCGATTGAGAAGCTGTTCGCTTTCAGGGCTTACCTTGGGTGGAGCAATTTCGTCGCTTTCAGGCCAGGCGCATTTCCATCATCTGCTTGTCATTCGTGCACAAGACAAGATGTTTTGATTTGCACCCATGTCAACATTACACAAATCATCATGAATCATAAATCATCAAACATCATCACAAATCATAATAAGTCATGATAATTCATAATAAGTCATAATGAATCATCATATATCAGAATAAATCATCATAAATCTGAAGCCTCGCGCCTTGCACCCCGCGAGCAGCTGCAGCTCAGGCGGTCAGGGTTTTAGTGGGCGTACACGGTGCTGGTCTCTCTTGGCTGTGGTCTATGCCTCGAGGCAAGGAACGTGAGAGGATGACCATGATGACCATGGATCAACATGTTTGATCAGCCAAGTAGGCACTAAATATGTCCACAAAATATCCCCAAAATACTATAAATCACAATAGATCCCCAACTTGCAGGTGCTGCAGTGGTGGAGTTCCGGCCAAAGGGAGCACCAGCCTTTATTTTGCAGTGCAGCGAGAGGCACGGTTTGGCAGGATGTGGCAGACACCCACACGCTTCACTCTTGATGGATGAACTAACTACTGTAGTTCAAATAGGGAAAAAACAAAATGAGTTTCAGGGTTTTTAGGTAATACATGTTACTATTAGTTCTGGGCTGGGACTAAAGACAGCGCAGCCACCGGGGGACTGGACCTCTGACTGTGGACTCTCAAGCATCCACGTTGACTCGGCATTGAATCATTCAAGGTATTCAATGGAAATCAGAACAAGAAAACAAACATAGCCATCTTAGCCATCAATAGAAATAGCCTCAACTTGCCAGGTGGGATCAGGATGATCATGAAACCTACGGCGGATTGGCCCGCCTTGCGCTGATTCACCACATTTGTTTGCGGCAAGAGCCTGTAATAGCAGAGGGTGTGAAGGACAGTGTCTGCAGATGGCAAAGGTTCATGCTTGTTTGGTCTAGCGTTGTCGGTTTGGCTTCGTCAAAGAAAGGGCTTCAACCTCAATTTTCTCACTTGGACTTTCTCGAATTTTGCTATATATATATATAGATTTTCCGTTTCCGACCGCGTCCTAATACACAGGACCTGGACTTTGAAAACTGGGACCGCAACGCGAATGTCACGCTGGATCTGGAGCGGCTGAATCTTGTGATACAGGACAGGAAGGTATTCAAGTTCTTCAAACCACATGCAGAACACACGGCACTGCCCAACGGGGCAATGGAAGTGGTTAGTGTCACAGCCTGCGTTCACTGTGAGGATGCTTTGGCCAAGACACAAGGGCCAGAACCTGACTGCAGGGACTTGATCCTTCAGTAAAATCACCAGGCAGTGAGGGATGAAGACAATGAAGGATCACGGGATCGGGCTGCTACATATCTTCTATGTCTCCAGATATGTTCTAATGAATTTTGGATTTTCCACACTTGGGTTTCAACTTCCATGTTGATCCCGTCACAGTCGGTGTATCCGTAACACTTTGTTCTTTGGTGGTTTGCTTAGCACTTTGGTCGCGGCAATTGCAGTGATGCCAGCATTTGATCAATTGCCAGGACGCCGTGCGAAGGGCCCACAGAGATGATCGCTCACCATGATCCCATCGCCATCGTTAAAGGCTCTTCGGTGTTCTTCGGTGTCCAAGCTGCAGTTGTAAGATGTTGTGAGGATGTTCATCCCGCTGCAGTACAAGACTCTTGCTGATTGTGTGCGTTTTGGGATGAACTCAGCGGCACCTTGCATGGAGACTACCCTGCCAAGAACGTGTGACCCAAGTCCAAGTGCGATCTCAGGGGACAACTTCCAAGGTCAACATGTACTATACTCTGATGATGGAACTGCAAGCGGCAGGTTTGCCAGTGTTGGCACCAGTGCTGGATAAGTTTGATGGCCTTCCTGGATAATTGGAATCAGCTGGATGTTCGATTGAAAGCTTGCCACCAGTCGGAAATTGCGTGAAGAGCTTTCAAAGGCAGTGAGAAAAAGACGGCCCAGCTCCGACCTCTGGCAATTTTTCTGACAGACTGGGACTCTTCTCTGTCATCCCAGAACAAATCCAGCCACAGGATTTGGCGAGTCTTCGTAAATCTCCTTTCAGGTGCTACGGGGCCAGCATGCTGCGCAGTTGCAGAAGGCAAGAAAAATCAATTCGCTTCTCCAATCTGTTGTTGCTTTCAAATTCACTTAGCTGCAACAGTCCTCATGAGACCCAGAGTGCTAGTAGGCAATCGGCAATCCCGTTGCACTTTACTTGTCCTGCTCAGTGGCCCGCGGACCGGCGCTGCGGTGGCGGCAGTGTGGGGGACCCTATCGACTCATGTAGGCCATGTAGGTGGAAATTTCTTGATTCTTACATTTGCCTTGGGGTCCTTAGAGGTATGGCAATGAGAGTTCTTGCAAGCAGGACTAGTGAACTACCTGGTGACTTGTGACTCTGGAACAAGAGAACAAGACCGTTGACTTGTGATTCCAAAAGAGCCCAATGCGCCCTTTGCATTTGTATGATATGCCTGAAATGTCTTCCTTTCTGAGGATCCGCTGCTGTCCACTGACCGCTTGCCACGCTCACTGTCCCTTGGTACCTGGTACATAATTTGGGGGGGTGAAGAACTCCTGGAGCTACAAAGGAATATTTGGGCGTCAGGGTGTCCAAGTTTCAGACATGTCCGAAGGACTCTAAGAAAAGGCTGAGATGGGACTCTGATTTGCAAAGGTCGCTGCTGTCTAATACTGAGCCTTGACAACATCAGTAGATAGATATGTAAGATTACTCATTGCTTTGTCATTGTACTTGAATACGCAGTGTACGTATTGGAGAATTGTTGCATGTCTAATATACACCTATATCATATCACTGTCCCCATGTCTATATCTATCATATGTCTACGAACCTATACTAGTATATTGTATGCACAGTATATTCTACATACACTGTCCATATGACGTCCATATGTGCGTACGTGTGCATGCATGCCATTGATTGGAGGGAGTCAAGTCGGTGTTGCAATGCTTTGGTTTGAAGAAGGTGGCAACACCTTTGAACCCCCGATAATTGTGCCGCGCTCACTCCTCCCAGGAAAAGTGCATTTGACTTGGAGGGCGTCCGACTTACCAAGGTGCTGGGTCATTGTGGATGCACCAACTCAATTCATGTTTGTGATATCCAGACCCGCTCATCAAGAACTCAAGAAGATTCACGATCCCAAAGGGCTGCTATAGTCTTTATTTCAGAAGGTGTTGATCGATGCACTATGCCTGCATTACTAATCTCATTGAAGACAGAGGGACAACAGGAACCCAACTAACCATTCCTATCATTCCTCATGTCATTTGCGTTTTCACCGCTTGGGTGTCACAGATCAGGCTGAAACATATCAATTTGAGGGCCCCGGACAGCACCGCACCGCACGCCATGAAGACGGATGTGGCCGATTTGGCGAAACTGGGATTGGGGCTCTGCGGTGCTGCTGTGGTGGCGCGGATCCTCTGGAAGCTGAAGTCCGGTGCACAAGGAGCTTTGCCAGAGAGCAAGAAGGACAGGATCGAAAACGTCCCTTTGATTTGGATTGGGATAGATATGGAATGATATGGATAGAAGTTTAGAAAATACTAACATTTGTATCTATCTATAGTATCTTTAGTATCTATACTATCTATAGTACCTATAGTATGTATAGTACCTATAGCATGTATGTATAGTATCTATAGTATCTATCTGTCTGTCTGTCTGTCTGTCTGTCTGTCTATCTGTTTATCTGTCTATCTGTCTATCTGTTTATCTGTCTATCTATTTGTCTAGCTGCCTATCTATCTATCTATCTACCTACCTACCTAGCTATCTATCTATCTATCTATCTATCTATAACTAACCCTGATAGAAATGGAGAGATGAACCAAGTGCAGGTTGTGCTTTGGGAGACACCCCGTCCTGCCTCCGCCTGTTCCCACTGACGTTTTCCCCAGGTTTTCAGTGGCTGGGACCCACGAAATGCCAGGACCAATCTGGTGGAGTCCCTAGCCCAAAGTCCAATGCTTCTGTAGCACCTTCACAAGGCGTCATGGTGGGGGAAGTTTCTCACAGACGTGAAAGGCACTTCTACTGACCTGATTCTTTGGATTATGGTGATGAATTTTGCCCACGAGTGCGCTAGACATGGTTCCATGGTTCCCGTCTGAAATCGTGTGTGTGGAATGTTATTGTTGAGTGCGGAATGGGTTTCCAAAGCTGTTCACATAGATGACATGTATCCTACCCCACATTGAGATGCCGCAGCGCAACCCGCCAGGCTTGTGGATCTACTTTGGCTCACAGATGGGCACAGCTGAGGGATTCGCAAGGGAACTGGAGGAGGAAGCCAGCAAGTTAGAGATTCCAGCCACTGTGGTTGACATGGAGGAGATCGGAATCGGCTGGAGATTGGATAGATTTGGCTGATTTTCTGAGATTTGGGATGATTTGGGGTGTGTGGCATTTGATGGAAAAAACAATGCACGCTTGCTTGTTGCGAGACCATGGATTTTCTAACATTCGTGCATGGCCTTTGGATGCATTTGGAAACATGCTAGCACTGCAAGATACTCCAAACTGTTCCAGGACTTTGACCCTGATGTCTTCGTACAGCACAAAGCTGTCATCCTGGTGGCTGCCACATATGGCGAAGGTGACCCCACTGACAATGCAGCGGAGTTTTACAAGTGGATTCATGATGATTCCCACGAGCCTGAATGTCTTAAAGGCATGCACTACACAGTCATGGGCCTGGGAAACAGGCAGGAAGTTACACAGAATCATGCAGGTCTTTGTTTAGAGTGCATGTTATGCATGTTGTATCATTTTTTAAAACTCACTCCGCATGAGTTCCCTGAAAAACTTCAAGGGTTCTATAAATTACAGCTGCAACATGCTGCAACAGCAGGCAGTATGTAAACTTCAACTCAGTGGGCAAAGCTATGGACAAGCAGCTGGAGATCATGGGTGCCACCAGGATCTACGAGCGCGGTGAAGGTGATGATGACCAAAACATCGAAGAGGATTTTGAGCAGTGGCAGGAGAACGGCCTGTGGCCGGCCATCTTGAAGGCTCTAGGAAAAGGAGACTGTCAAGGAAAAGAGGATCCTGAGATGAGAAATGGCCGTGTTTTTGCACATTTGACACGCTGTTTAGATGTACACGCACGGGCTTCATTGCACAAATTTCGTGGCAACTCGGAACACTCAAGAAGACACCCTAGGCTGGGCTTACATCTGTATTCACCCTTGATCCCATGTCTACATATGTCTACAGTCGTTTGAGTGCACATTTTTTTGGCGGTCTAACCTTTCAAATTCAAATCGAGAATTTCTGGTCCCATTTTTATGGCCGATTGACAAGTTGCCGCCGTTGAGCTCAGGAGGGCTTGGAGAGTGCAGAAACTGCTTTGAGCCGCCTCACATTGCAGGTGAAGATGGCAGAAAGTATCCGAGAGCTGCCTGTTGATCCCTTGGTCCAGGTGGGTGGTGCTGATATCATTGGCAAGTGGTACTTTCAAGCATCGCAAGCTCCTGTAGTGGTTTGTGAGGAACTCCGACAGAAGCCAAATGAAGAGGCTGGAAAGACAACAAAGCATCTAGAGTTTGATATCAAACAGTTGCCTGGGGTGAGTTGGCGGACAGCTGACAACCTAGAAGTCCTGCCGCAAAATCCTGACGATGTTGTGGAATGGTTCGCTGAGCGGTTGAAAGTCAATGAGCAGCTAGAGCATTACATGACCTTCACTCGCACGAACACAACCAAACCAGTGAAGCAGCTCGGTTTTTTAGTTCTTTTCATGTTGTCCCTCTAAACTTGCCTTGATTCCCAAGAGAGGTGAGCCTTTAGAACTGCTGTTAATCCATGTTTCAACTGGGCACATCTGGGCACATCCCAGGAAGCCTTTCCCAGCACCATGCAAAGTTCAGACAGCGCTATCGATTTATTGCGACCTCTCCGCGCTTCCAGCGAGGTCGACTGCCAAGAAATTTGCACCCCTGGTGCAGGATGCTGCAGATCGCGAGGCGCTTTTTGCACTGGTCCAAGACCGAGAAGCGTATCAGATTCTCACAGATGGTCGCTTGACGTTGAAAGACTTTTTCGAGCTCTTCATGCAGTCGGCAGAGATCGACCTCAGTGCTTTTGTTCAGATCTGTCAAAGACAGAAGAATCGACCTTACACTATTGCCTCCTCATCGAAGGAGGATTCTACTCGGATAGGCATTTGTGTGAGTCTTGTGCAGGAGGAACATTCACCTTTGGAGAGTGTTATGAAAGATCTGAGTGCAAAGGGCATTCAGATTCCGCGTGCCTCAGTTTATTTGCAAAAGCTCGGGGCTGGTGCTAGCCAGCCACGACGCTTTCGGGGCCTTTGCTCCGAAATGCTGTGCTTGAGGACCACCAAAGGTGAAAAGTTACGGATAGCCGCGAGAGCCTCCAGTTTCCGCTTGCCCAAACGAACTACAACGCCCATTATCATGTTGGGAGCTGGAACAGGGCTGGCTCCTTTCAGAGGTTTTGTGCGAGAGTTCATGGCAGAAAAAGGAAGTCGCAGCAAGACGGTGCTCTTCTTTGGGTGCACCAAGAGCGATGAGGACTTCATCTACAAGAAGGAGATAATTTCACTCTCACTTTCAAAATCTTTCAAACACTACTGCAAGTCAAGATGCAGCCCGAAAGATCAAACAATCTACACATTTAGACGGGGGTTGAAATTTCAACTACAAACAGGGGTGGCTTGTGCCCCCTACAAACACTATTGCAGGAGGTCATTTTGCGGTGTATTTTGGGGGTCGTGCCCTAGCATTTTGTATTTGTAGCGGGACATCGCTTTTATTTGCTTTTATAGGAGATTGACATATAGGAGATTGACTTTTTGCAGCGATCTATGAAACGCCATGTGGATCATCACCATTGGACCACTTACAATATTCCTAGCTTGCAGAGATTCATTTTGTAGAGGGAATTTGCGGGCACCAATCTGCAGGAGTGTTGCTCGAAGCGTGCTTCTTGTTCTCTACTGTTCCCTTCTACGTGCTACAGTTCTGTCCTCTTATTATTCTCAATTGTGTTTTTTGAGCTTCACACTATTTCATTTGTCCGCAACTCTAAAACTTCTCTTCAAACATTCCTTGGTAAACACATTCTGCAACATTAAGTAACATAGTAACATATATCACTTGTACAATCAGCAGATATTAACAGATGTATACACACCACTAGAAGCTGAAACCGTTTCACCCTTGGTCACCTGGCTTCACTAGGAGTTGGAGGATGCTGCACAAAAAGACCCCCCAGCACTCACAGAGCTGATCACCGCATTCTCGCGTGAGCAGAAGGAGAAAATCTATGTGCAGCACCGACTCCGAGAGAAGTCTGCCGAAGTGAAGCAAATGATGCAGGATGGTGGATACATTTTTGTATGTGGCGCCACGAGCATGGGCAAACAGGCAGGGATTTAACAAGGATTTGACTGGGCGGTCACAATTTGCTTAAGTAACTCAAGTGTGCAGAATCATCAGAATCACTCAGCTGAGCGATGTGCAGATTTGAATAATCCTCTAGACGAGATTTTAAATTGAAACCTGGTCGGACGGAAGTTCATCGTGTTGCCGTTTCATTGCTTTGCTGAAAAGGTGCGCGACGAGCTTGTGACTATCCTTGGAAGTGCTGACTACTTTGATCGGCTTAAAACCGAGCAACGTTATGTGGAGGAACTTTGGTAGCGTGGGGGCATGTTGGTGCTTCCTTGAGCCTTTGTACCTCTCTAGCCGTTTCACAAATCTTTTGCCCAACCACTGCTGGCAGCTGCGTAGCCCAGTCAGCATGTGAAAATTAGTGCCATAGAGGTATTCAATACATCCGAAAAGGGGTCCCGCGAAGGATTCTGGTGCACAGAAATGGGAGTCTTCAATCTCCTTTTGCCGCCTCAAATATGGGGACAGGTCAAAGCGAGTCTCTGGCACCCTTCCCTTGCATGAAATGGATGCCTTTACAATCTTATATATATATATATAGAGCATAGCTTCAACTTTTTTTTCGAATATCAAAAGCAAGTCTTCCACAATTGTGTGCCCATTGATCCTGTTTCTTGACCATCTTGCACTAGATATCTGACATTCTAAGGGAAGGAGTGCCTTCAAGGTACTTGCGTTCAGGACCTTGTGGTTCCGGCTTGGAGCTCTCCCTGACGCGTCAAAAGTGTTGCATGGTGCAGCCAGCTGGGTGAAACTGGATTTGGGTTCGTCTGAACATCGGGTATACACCCCAAATGGCAATTCGAATGTATTGAAATGATTTATATACTATGACTATAAATGATAATAATCCATTTGTTTAAATGCTTTAAAGTACAATAATCCATTGGAAGTGGGGGTACAATATTTTCAGACAAAGCCCTTCCTCCTTGGAATAAAATTGCTGGTCCTCTTGACATCTTTGGGCACCCCATTTAATGTGACAACTTGTTCAGTCTGGCCGCAGGTGCAGGCCGCAGGTTTGGGTGTCGCAATGATGATGCCAGGCCGCGCATGGGATTTACCTGGAGTGACTAGGCCGACTAGGCCCACTAGGCAGCTTGTAGGAGGAACCACGCATTTGGGCAAGATTTCAGACCTGCTGTTGGACTGATTGGCTCTCCGACCCTACGACAATATTTTCAGAGTCTCTGCAAAAAAAGGACGTGCCACAACCCTCGAGTCACCTACACACTCAGCGATAGATACCTGAAAGATCCTTAAGGTAACAAAAATTATAGGATATCAGCTACATCCAGCTACCAGATCATCTGCGAGAGACACAGGTTCAACAGTATTGGCTATGGGTTGGAGCCTCGGACAAGATGGGGCACCAACTTGGTTACCATGCAGCCACAGAATTCGAGTGACATTTGGCGATCAAAACCTTGGTACACTGATAAACATAACAATAGCTGTTCAATGGATGTTCGTTGAATTTTCACTACGCGCTTCTGACATTTTGGACTGGAGCCTGGTTTCTTCCCTTCTTGCATTCTTCCATTGTGAAAGTGGTGAACAGTTGATATTTGCAATGCTCGTACTTCTCGGGCCGCAGCTGAAGTAGTGCATCTAGCAATCGAAAACAGTAGCTTACATTGCAAGGCAATCTTAGTTTTCCGGTACAGTACTTTAGTGTCCATCATTTGAAATCTGTTGCTGTTGCCTGTGACATACAAGTCCAGCAGAGGGAACAAACTTCCATCCACTCCCCCATTCTTGAACTATTGACCGATGTTTCTTTTTAACCCTGAGAAGCTACAACTAGCCCTAGAAGCAGTGAAATACTTCAGGCTTCCTCTTTTCCCCACGGCAAACCTGGCACAGCTCGAATTTCCCCATGCTCTGAAGCCAGTTTCACCGCCATGTGGTGCCTTGCCACACCATGCTGTATGCCATGCTTGCTCACCTGCCCACTGCCGCGGAACAGCCGCGCGGCGCAAGTTCAAGAGGAGCTGCGGTCGCGCATCATGCAGCAACTACCAGAGGTGAAGATGGGGATGAACAGTGAGAACTCCACAGCTGCCAGGATTGCCATTGAAAAAATAAAGAATAGGATGATTTACCTATATTCACCAGTAGATTTTGAGGGGCACCTTATTTTCAGACAAACTCACTTCGGTATGTTCAATAAAATTCAAGACTGTGTGATATATGTATATTAATTATATATAATTATATATAATATTATATTTAATTATATATATATATATTAATATACACACACACATGGGGATATTGGGATATCTCCCAATCATTGGAATTCCAGAGGAGGGCCCAGTTGTTGTGCTCTCCAGTCACGATCATGTTGTGATTATTTGTTGAACAAGGATAAGACAACCACAAGAAGCAATGCATGCAGAGACTGCTGATACTCTGATCAGGCCACCTACAAGATTTACGGATGGCTGTCTGGCAACCTTTCCCTGTTTACATGGCAACCCCCGCGACCAGATCTTGTTGGGGCCTCAACTCACAACGGACCAGGAAACCTGAGAAAAGCCTGCAATGGGAGGAAAACTCAGCAGAAGTTCAATTGGCTAGAACTTCTGGAACTCAACCTTGCTTTCCAGAGACCTTCAATGACGTATCGTCGTATCGTACCAAGATTCGCGACATTCAGGCATGGAGACTTGACAACGGACGTGATAACATGGATGCTCAGGTGGACGGAGAAGAAGATGAGGATGAACGCCACAACAAGGCGCCAATCAGGTTTCCACGGCTATTGGCTGTAGAATGTTGCCGAATTAGCAGTGCAGTGCCGTGAAGTGTCAAAGACGCGCTGTTTGTAGTGGTAAGTGGTAAGTGGTAAGTAAGGAATGTCCCGTCCAGATCCAAGTCAGCAGATGATGTAAAAAGTGCTGGGTTGAAATTTGTCCGCATGGAATTCACAAATAAGAACGTGGAACAATCTACGCAGACATCACCGAGGAAGGCTCTTCGGGCGATGAAGTAACATAAAATGCAACGACGAGCGCAGAGAATGGTATCCACATTGCCTTTTCCAAGCGTGCCTCCAGGTAGAAGCCATGATCATTGGTAGCTCCTTGGAAGCCATGCAGTTTCGCTTAGAGCAAACACAGGCCGGGAATCCACAGATCCAAAGGCAGGTTTTCGGTTTGGAACGGTTTTGTCCTGGGCCATTGATCTATCGGCTTATGGGCGAATCAAACAGAACCAGGAAAGCAAGAAATTCAATGTAGATATTGGAGGGCAGGAAGAAATAGCCCGATCTTCCGTATTGCTTTGATTTCACAACAGCATCAACAGCGTGGATCCTATGATTCTTGTGGCCTTATGGGCCTTATGGCTGCTGTTGTCGCAGCTCTTTGACGAGAAGAAAACCTACTATGGACCGCCAAGAGGATGGATGCTCACGTTCACATCAGGCCTCACAGAGCCTATAGCGCCCCAGCTGCAGGTTGGTACAAGTGCAGGATTCTGCATTCTCAGTTTCAAAACCAACAACAGATATTTGGGCAGAAAGAAAGGGAGGCCATGTTGTCAAAATGCTGAGCTTTCCTTGACTGAGGTGTGGAGCATGCCCTTGCTCTACTTTGTGGTGCAGATCGTTTGTATGGCGCTTTCAGGAGAATCTCTTGCAACTCGACAGGGTTCATGTCATGGTTGCCTAGTTGACTCTTAGTGGACTCAGACAGCTCAGACAAAGTTTGTTAAGGGAGATCAACCTGAGGAGGTATATAGTATTGTATAGTGAAGGGTGAAGCTGAGATAAGGGCAGCTGTCTGAAATCAAGAGAAGGGATACGTGCACCTTGCATTTGTGAATCAGCGCAGAGCAGGGAGGAGGACTTGAAGAGTATCCGATGTGTATATATATATATTATACCTACAATACAATATATTATATGCTATATACTATAATTATATAATATTGATATACGTATCAATATATATATATATATTGATATTGATATTAGTTATGTGTATGGGACATGACTCAGTCTTTGTGTAGCTGCTGTTTGTATATTTCCGTTGTCCCCTTTTGCAAAGGTCGGATATCTATCCCAAGAACTGGACATGCTCCAGCGGCCCAGTGGAACTCCGTAGCCTGGTTGGAAGCTTTTCCAATGTTTTTTTCCGATGATTTTGATCGTTTTTAGTGGGAAACCATCCATTTTTTTAATGATTTTTGGATGGCTTTGGATGAAACCATCCATTTCTTTTTGCTGGATTTGGGATGATCTGGGCACCCAGTTTTTATTGACCCACCTGGTAAATGCTGTTATTCTTTGGAAAACCTTGGAAGCTCAGGTTTCTGATTCACTTGAGCCTTGCCTGCAAGGTTTTGGGTACCATGCGGGTGCTTTCTTCCAAGACTCCTTGGAGTGGCGTAAAAGAACTTGCGTGTGCCAGTCTCCATTTTTTAAAGGCATTCCATGATATTCTCTACTTTTGCTGGCTAGGTTGAATCCTATTAGGACTAGATTTTCTGCTTCCTTGCCCTTTCTTGCGGCAAGGCTTTCCTCTAAAGTCTCTAAAGCAAATCCAAAGCCAAAGCATCTGGTTGTTCTAACTCTCGTCCAGTGAGTTCCCCTTGTGGCCCTCGCCCTTGTCAGCTTATCTATCTATCTGTCTGTCTGTCTATCTATCTGTCTGTCTATCTATCTATCTGTCTGTTTGTCTATCTATTTGTCTGTCTGTCTATCTATCCATCTATCCATCTATCCATCTATCCATCTATCCATCTATCTATCTATCTAATCTAATCTAATCTAATCTAGTCTAATCTAGTCTTATCTAGTCTTATCTAACCTTATCTAATCTTATCTAATCTTATCTAATCTTATCTAATCTTATCTAATCTTATCTAATCTTATCTAATCTTATCTAATCTTATCTAATCTTATCTAATCTTATCTAATCTTATCTAATCTTATCTAATCTTATCTAATCTTACCTAATCTTATCTAATCTTATCTAATCTTATCTAATCTAATCTTGTCTAATCTTATCTAATCTTATCTAATTTTATCTAGTCTTATCTAGTCTTATCTAATCTGATCTAATCTGACCTAATCTTATCTAATCTTATCTAACCTTATCTAATCTGATCTAATCTTATCTAATCTTATCTAATCTTATCTAATTTTATCTAATTTTATCTAATCTTATCTAATCTTATCTAATCTTTTCTAATCTTATCTAATCTTATCTATCTATCTATCTACCTATCTATCTATCTAC